AACAGTTCATGCCAGATAAACCTGATTTCCTTTTCTGTTATTTCCTTTGGGGGTCTTCTGGAAAAGATGAAGCCTAAGGCCCCTTCCAGCTCTAGATCCACAGCCTTCTGAGCTGTGAATTACCCTAGAGAAGAAAAGATCTGGAGGAAAGGGGTGAGATGGCTATGACAACCGTCTTCAAGCACCCAAGGGGCTCCTGTGTGAAAGAGGAAGGCTTGCTCTGCTGGACCTCAGAGGACAGAACTAGATGAAGCAAGAGGTGATTAAGTTGTAAAGAAGCAGATTTTAGCTCTAAAGTGAGGAAAAACCCTAACAGTCTGAGCAATCCAAAAGTGGCATGGCTGGTCCTGATGTCAGGAGGGCTGGAGAGACGGGCTGCAAAAGGACTCCTATTCAGACACGAGTTAGACTGAAGTCTCTTCCGACTCAGTGTCGGTTATTATGTCAGTTCCTTATAATTACGGATATTGTATATAATGATTTTGATATTCACCATGCCTATTCGTTTTCGCACGCTTTCACAACCCTCATCTCATTTCACAGACTCTCAGAGGCTGTTAGGGTGATGCTAGGCTGGATAGAGCTGGGCCCGGGGTCAGGATAAAATCCAACCTCAGACACTTATTAGTGGTATAACCCAGAGCAAGTCATGTAACTCCTCAACTGTAAAATGGAGATAATAACAGCACCTACCTCCAAGAGTTGTTGGGAGGATCCAATGAGATAATATTTGTAAAGCACATTTGTAAAGCCTGGTACATAGTAGGTGCTTAATTAATAAATATTTGTTCCTTCCTTCCTTCAGAGCTGGAAGAGATGAACCTCAAAGACCACCCCTGGGTCTATCTAATTCATAGCTGAACAAGAATGCCAGTGTGCAAAAGCCCTGTAAGTGCTAATCCAGCCTCCATGAGGAGACCTCTAAGAGGAGGAATCCCTCCACTTCTTGTGCAGCCTCTTCCACCCTGACTGTCAGGAAGCTTCTTCCTCTACTGAGCTGAAATCTGCCTCTATCCCTCTTCCACTCATTACTCCTCTCTTTGCCTTCTGGAGCAAGCAGAAGAACCTTTCTTCCACATGCCTGCTCTCCCATCCCCCCAAGTCACCTCTTCTCCAAGCTAGGTACCCTCAATTCCTTCAGCTGATCCTGGGTGTGGTTTCAAGTCCCCTCACCAACCTAATCACCCTTTTATGGAAATTCCTCAGCTCATCAATGTCCTTCCTAGAATATAATGGCCATAAGTGAACAAGATACCTCATTCTGGAAACTACGCCTCTCTTAATGAAGGTGAAAATAACAACAATAATGATAGTTAGCACTTAGGTTTGCCAGCACTTTAAGGCTGGCAAAGTATTTCACACATGTTATTTCAATTGATCCTTACAACAACGCTGGAGGGATATAAGTGCTATCATTATCCTCATTCTACAGATGAGGAAACTGAGGCTGAGAGAGGTTAAGTGATAAAATGGCCATTGTAATCATTCCTAGAATACCTATCTCATAGTGTTGTTGTGAGACTCAAATGAGATTGTGTATGTAAAGGAATGTGCAAACTTTAAAGCTATAAACATATGAGGGTCTTTTATTCCCTAATCTAGTAACCTTGCCAAAAAAAAATAAAAAGGAAATTAGATTAATCTGGCATTTTGAAAGGTTTTAATGTTGCCTTGTGTTTTTCATGCCAAGTCAATGCTGCTTCCCCCACCCTTTCCCCAAACCCTCCTGGTAAGAAAAACAAACCATAGCTCCTATATATCACAGCATATGTGACATTTTACACCCACACTCTTCTGAGAGGAGGGAAAGTCTGTTTCATCATCTATCCTCTAGGATCAAGATTGGTCAGCATGACCTGTTCTTGCTGAAGCCATGAAGACACACTGGCCCTTTGTGATCACTGCTTTCCTTTGTAAATGCTTAGACACTATCCCTTTAATAATGTTCTAGCATTTTGCTAAGAATTGAAGTCAAGCTCATCAGCCTATAGTTTGCAGACTTCACCCTCTCTCTTTTGATAATTAGAATGCCACCTGCCTTTCCATAGTTCTATGGTACCTTTTTCACATTCCCCAGGATTCTTCAAAAATCACCTACAGGAGTTTAGCTACGGGGCAGCTAGGGGGCGCAGTGGATAGAGCACTGGCCCTGAAGTCAGGAGGACCTGAGTCCAAATCTGGCCTCAGACCAAATACTTGACACTTACTAGCTGTGTGACCCTGGGCAAGTCACTTAACCCCAATTGCCCCCCCCAAAAGTAATTTTTATTCATAGCAGCTCTTTTTGTGGTGGCAAAGAATTAGAAATTGAGAGGATGCCCATCCATTGGGGAATGGCTGAGCAAGTTGTGGTACATGAATGTAATGGAATACTATTGTGCTATAAGAAATGATGAACAGGCTGACTTCAGAAAAACCTGGAAAGACTTATATGGTCTGATGCTGAGTGAAGTGAGCAGAACCAAGAGGACTTTGTACACACTAACAGCCTCGTTATGTGATGACTAATATTGTTAAACTGAACCCTTCTCAGCATTACAAGGATCTAAGACAATCTCCAGAGGCCTCGGGATGGAAAATGCTGTCCATATCCAAAGAAGGAACTATGGAAGTCGAACCACTATCACTTATTTTTACCTTCTGTTGAGTTTTGTTTCACTTTCTGATGGTTCCTTCTATTGGTTTTAATTTTTACTTACAACTTCACTAATGTGAAAATATATTTAATGGGTATGTAAATGTAAATCCTATATATCAGACTGTGCGCCGTCTTGGGAAGGGGGAGGAAAGGGGAGAAAAATTTTCAACTCAAAAGCATATGGAAGTGATTGTTGATAAATCAAAATAAATTAATAAAATTTAAAAAATTAAAATAAAATAAAAATAAATTTTTTAAAAAAGCAGTTTAGCTACCACATCTCCCCATCTATTTGCTCAATGAATTCTTACCCATTCTTTAAAGGCTACCTCAAATGCCACCTCTTCCATAAAGACCTCTGAGCTCTGATTAGTGAGCTTTATCTTGCCCAGTCCAAAGCCTGCCATGCCATTTCCTAGGCATCTCCAAGCCGTGCTGCCTATATTCCAGCTTCCTTCTCTCCTCCCCACCCCTCACTGGAACTTTGACTTTTGCCCCTAAGACTTTAGGTTCTCTTTGTTTGTTTGTTTATTATTTATTTTTAACATTATTTCAAAAATTTTTTGAGTTGCAAATTCTCACCTTCTCTCCAATCCCTCTGCCACCCATTAAGAAGGCAGACAATATGCCATCAATTAGATTTCAAACCCCTGCAAAACATATGACTTCAGGTTCTGATTGGTGAGGTCAACCTTACGTTACTGGGTCTCAAACCCCCTATTCCACTTCCTGTCCATCTCTGAACTCTGGCTTCCTCTTCCTTCCACTGGAACTCTCACTTTCCCAATCTAGATCCTCTCTTTGTGCTGTCTTCCCCTATTATAATGTGAAGTCCTCAAAGGCAGGGACAAAGTTTGCTTGTTTTCCCCCCATCACTTAGCACAATAATAATAATAATAATCACTTAGCACATAGTAAGCACTGAATAAATTTTTTCCCTTCATTCTTTCTTCACTCATCCATTCATTCATAAAACCTTCCACAATCCCAGGGGTCTGTAATAACCTTCATTCTCAGAACTCACACAGCACTGGGTTTGTTTGCTTTTTTTCCTTTGGCACATCTCCGATGCAATTACCATATATTATTTTGTACAGTTATCTATGTTTATGTTATCTTACACCATAAGTCCGAGGAGGGCAGGGACTTTAATGTGTCCTTTCTAAACTTTTATTTCCAATAGCACCAAGCACCTAATAATAAAATAGTAATAATAAAAACATTAGGGCGACTAAATGAACCAAGTTACATCAGCTGCCCACACATTTAATTCTTTCCTTAAATTGTGAACAGACAATCTTAAGTCACTGAACCATTTTATTACTTTTTCATTTACACCCTGAAATTGTTGATTTTCACAAATGCCCTGTGAGGTAGGTTAGGCAGGCAGATGTGATCTCCATTTTACATATGGGGAAACTGAGGCTTCCAGAAGCTTGAAGGAGGTCACACAGATAGTAAGTGGGATTGTAAACCAGCACCAGGTCTTCTCATTCCTGGTCTAGTTTTTTTTTTCTCCATTACCCCACAGCTCTCTGGGTAAATGCCTTGGACCCTCCATTTGTACTTAGCCTTATTCTGCCTCAATACTAAATTCAAATTTTCGGCTCCATCAAAGCAGACCTCCTCCAATTCATCCCAATTTTGGAGCCCTGACTAGGCAGTTTCCCTTGCCTGGGACAAGCTCCCCCATTTACTAGTTGAGGCCTTCCCAATATCTAGGATACCTTCCTTCACCAACCGCTAGGCTCTACCAACAGCACTTACTGGAGTTCACAGCTAAACATAGGCTTCCATGTAAGTGATCCCTTATAAAGCAAACTCAGCCTAGAAAAATTTGCTATTCTGCAATTCCTCACAGTAGGGGGCACATGTGTTAGACATTACTCAGTCTCTTGCAGTGACTAATTTTTGATGTCCCATTATCATTCTGCCTCTGGGTTATGTGTTGGCTAGATCCCTATAAACTCTGAGAGCAGCCCCTTCCCCTGGTTCCATAGCACACCGATCTCCCCTTCCCTCAATTCTATCACACATTTCTTTTCCCCAGGACATGTCTTCCTCCTTTCCCATTACATAGCTTCTTCTCCCATAACAGTGTCTTTCTTTACTCCCCAAATGCAATTTCCCCCCACCAAAAAACCACTCACAATAAAACAGACTCCCTCCTCTCACTGGAGCCCAAAACCAAGACACTTATCTCCCTACATATGCATACACAGGCACAAATAACACACAAGCACACACTCCAACACCTATACCTGGCCACACATGCATATACTCTCAAACACACAAACACATACATGTACACACACACAAACACACGCACACATTCTTCCCAGGACCTTCTCTCTCTCTCTACCTGTCTATAATGACGGGGTCAGATGGCGTCTCGTTCCGGTTGCCACAACTCTTCTTATCACAGCAGCGGCTGTCAGGAGAGAAGGACAGAGTTGTAGAGTCAGGAATGCCAGGAGTGAACTTTGCGAGGCATCATGGTGTAAGAGAAAAGGCACTTGACATGAAATCAAGAGGATGTGGGTTCAGATCCCATGTCAGTCATGGACAAACTGTGTGACCCTAAACAAGTCACTTAACCTCTCTGTGCCTCAGTTTCCTCATCTGTAAAATGAAAGGGTTGAAAGTCAAATGCCTCTAAGTCCTTTTAATCTCTAAATCTATGATCCTATGGCCTCTAGTTCAATCTCCACTCACCTCTGCCACTTACTTACCTGTGTTACCTTAGACAAGTCATTTAAATCTCATTTTTACCATTTGTGAAGTGATGGCATTTGTACTAGGTGACCTTTAGAGACCCTTCCAACTCTAAATCCAGGAACTTTCCCTATAACACCCTCTCCAATGGTCATTCAACTTCCATTTCAAGACCTCCAATCAGCTAGTTACTTACCAAGGGAGCCCATTCTAGGATTGTTGTCGTTCGGTCATTTAAGTCATGCCTGACTCTTCCTGACCCCATTTGGGGTTTTCTTGGCAGAGACACTGGAGTGGTTTGCCATTTTCTTCTCCAGCTCATTTTACAGATGAGGAAACTGAGGCAAACCGGGTGAAGTGACTTGCCCAGGGTCACACAGCTAGTGTCTGAGGCCAGATTTGAAGATGTTCTCCTGACTTCAGGCCTGGAGCTCTATCCACTGCACCACCTACCATCCCTCTATTTCACTGTTATGTAAGTCTAATTAGGACTTAAGACTTACTGTTAGGAAGTTAATAATAATAACAGTTAACATTTATACAGCACTTTAAGATTTGTAAAGTGCTTTGCAAATATTATCTTATTTGATCCTCACAACAACCCCAGGAGTAGGTGTCACTGTTATTCCCATTCTGAGGTAACTGAGAAAACTGAGGCAGATAGTGGTTAAGTGACTTGTCCAGGGTCACACAGCTAGTAAGTGTTTGTGGCAGGACTGAATTCATGCTTTCCTAACTCCATGGCTAGTGCTCTCGCCACTGGGTCACCTGTTGTCTCTTGAAATTATCGCCCTCCTGAGAAGTAAGGAGAGTAAAATGGGGGGGAGAATGAGAAAGAGGACACAGAAGTCAGGAAAGACAGTGGGATGGGGGAGAGAAGGAAAATGAGGCAAAGGAAAAGGCAAGAACGGATATCAGGGGCATAGGGGAAGAAAGAGGAAGAAAACTATCACTATGGAAATTGTTTTTACCCAAGAAAAGTACCACAAACTGTGCTTGAGGGAAGGAGTATGAAACAGGCCCTCCTGGAGGCCAGGGAAGTGGGGAGAGGAGTGGAGGAAGCCACCCTGTGTGTGGGGACACACTGACCCCATGACATCAAAAGGAGGCACTTGCCCCTGTCTACCAATCGGCAGCTTCTGATTTTAACTAATTATTATTCCTAAATATGTGCTAAGATCTGTTGTTGTTCCCACAGTCCTAAGGGACTGCAAATGCCATTGGGGACCTCTAACTTTATTGCCCTCTAAACTTGGTGCCTTGGACAAAACCCTGATCTCCCCACCCTAGTCCCGTTTCTAAAAGAAAGTGAGAAAGGTAAAAAGAATTGAGGCAAGGAAGGAGAGGGAATGGATTTCCCTCAGGGTAGGATGCCTGTCCTTCATTCCTCCTCAAAGCTGGAGGAATGGGTAGGGATACAGAAAGTTGATCCCCACAGATGTTCAGAAAAGCTACAACTGGGATAGGAGGAAGAGAGAAGAAATGGGGAACAAAAAGGCCAGGAGTCACCACTGGTCTCTTCGTATTTATGAAAGAGTGTTCTCCATCTAAATTCCTGCCCGTGTATGGGTTGAGCATCCTTTCCAACTTTGGGATTTTAGAATTATATGAAACTATAACTGGGGCTTTGTTTTTCTTGCTTTCTTAGTGGGGGGTGAGAAGAAGTAAATGTTGAAAATAAAATGGAATTTTAAAAGAATTCTAGGAAACTGTGGGTAAAATAAATACGTATATAGTTTCCCACTGACTCCAGTTTAAAGATCAAAAAGTACATTCTGGAGCTCTGTCAAAAGCTATATTGTCTATCAGGCCAGGAACACACATAAACAGGGCCCCCTCCCAGCCGGCAGACAGGCTCATAGGAAAAGGTGGATCCTTGGTGCTCTGGAAAGAAACCATCTAACCTCGAATCTCAAGAGACCCAAGAAAGACAAGGGCCCTCTCACCTCCCACTGCCACCATGCCCAGCTCCTTCTTTCCTGGAGGTGAGAGAAGGCTCTCTATCTTTCTACCACTGCCCAGACATACACTTCCTTTTTACTTGGTATGCACAGAGCCGGTCTTGGGGAAGAGTCAAACGTTTGTTTCTCTTTGCCCTTTCCCTCCCCAGCCCTGAGAGAGGAGGGGAGAGAAAACATTGCAAGGATAGGGAGACCACTCTGCATCCATCCATGCCTGGAAGGATCCTGTCCAATCCCATCTATGGGTTGCCTCAATTTGCACAATAAATGTATTTTTGAGATGTTTATTCACTCATTTGGTGTAAATCAAATGTTTCTAAATGCAATTCTCTTTCCCATGTCCTGGGGGAGCATGCCTTTTTTTTTTTAAGGGATATTATTGTGAATTCTTATTTAACATGAAGAATACCCCATAATTGAACTTGTATGTAAAAACAGATTTCAATATGTTGGGTTTGGTTTAAGCAGAGACCTCCGGGAATAGACCTATTCTATGTGGCTGAAACTAGAGCACAGAACTTGGAACAATACGAGTGGGGAAGTTCCAGGAAAACAGATTTTTGGCTCAGGACAACAAAGAACCCTCTAACAATTGGAGCTGTCCAACAATTGGGCCAGCTGCCTTATGAAGCAATGAGCTTTCCGCCAATGGAAGTGTTTACACTAAAGGCTAGAAGGCGACCTGTCGGAGAGGTTGCTGAGGTGATGCCTGCCCTGGAAGAGGGTGCAGCTACTGGACCTCTGAGGTCCCTTCCCGCTCTGAAAGCCTGAATTCTCACCATACAGCTATGGACAGAGCTGGGGTAGCTAGGTCTTTGAGAAGCAGAGATAGGAAGAAAAGAAGCCCTACCCTCTACCCCTACCCCTACCTAGGTCTAGGCTAGAAAGGGTTATTGCTCTGTCCAGGCCAGACCACACCTGACCACACCTGACCACCTGCCTCTCCACTTCCCTCCCAGTCCTTAGGCGCCACTCCCCACAGCCTTGTTCCTTGCCTCCCCTTTTCCCCCACCCCCCCCATCTCTGGAGTCCCCTTCCCTCGGGCCCCAGCTCATTAGTAAAAGTTCCTGCAGCTCAATTAGCGGTGACAGGATGACTCTCCTGTGCGCAAACACGGCTCGAGCGGCACAAACAGCCCTGGCTAATGGGGCCTCTGGGACCCGCCAGCTCAGCTAGTGCCCCGGAGGCCCTCCCCTCCTCCCCATTCTTCCTCCGCCCCCCCTCCCCCTTAGCCCTGCCATAGGGCCAGGGACAGCTTAAGTAACCGGCCCAGAGGTAGAGGAGAAGGGTTTGAGGCCTGAAGAGCCGGTGTGGACACTACCCCTACCCACCCCATCATTTCGTTCCAGCCTTGCAGGGTTCCAGCCTACACTGCTCCATGGGCCAGCAACATGGGCATCTGAAGGAAGGTCACCCCAATTCGGGTGAGGTCTTCCCTGACCCCTCCCCACCCAGTTGTCTTGACCCTTCAGTACACTCACCTGCACATGATCTCATGGGTGAGAAGGACACGGCACATCTCCGGGTTCTTGTCCTGCCCCTCGTAGATGATGGCCTGAAGGGACAGGGGGCAACAGACCAGTTGGACAGAAGGGGAGGGAGAAGAGGGAAAAGGAAGAGCAAGCCACAAAGGACCCACACTTCCACCTCTCACCAGGTAGTGGAAAGAGCTCTGGATTTGGAATCAGGAGACCTGAGTTCAAATCCCAGTTCTGACTAGCTGGGTAACAGTTGGGCAAGGCACTGAAACTCTCTAAACCTCAGTTTTCTAATATGTAAAATAAAGATGTCACTAGCACTACTGCCATGAAGGATTGTTGTGAGGAAGGGGCTTTGTATACTTTAAAGCACAAGAGAAAAGTGAGTTATTGGCATGGAATCTTGCCTAAAGAGCCTGCTTTGGAGTCAGGAAGAACTGAGTACAAGTCTCACCTCTGACACATACTGGCTGTGTGACCCCTAAACTCAGAATTGCCCCAGGCAAATTCTGAAACCATAAATTTCATAACAGTAACAGATCTGAACTGGTAAATGGTGTTAGGAGTTCCCTATACCAATAAAATTATAGGTCCAAACTATTATCTGCATATATGTGTGTGTGTATGTACATGCACACATACATATATACATATATGTGTATGTGTACATATAATTATTATTATTTATTATTAGAATTCACTTCTCCTAACCCTCTGACCTGTGGTGACTGTCCCAGGAGGGAGGATATCTGGGAAGATGCCTTGATGGTAGCTGCTTTGAGCTACGGGACAAAACCAGGGCTCTGGACAGAGACGGGGGTAGCAAACCTCCAGAGCTACCTAAAGCTAGTGAAGAATCAGGGTGAAAGGGGGAATTCTTTGGGGGCATAAGTGTGAAAAAGAAGCTACAGTGGGTCACCCCTCTCTGCTTCCCTTCTGTTGGGAAGTTTCTTCTTTGATTGTCCACCGGCTCCTTTAGAAAAGCTGTAGCAAGGACTGAAAAGTCAAGGTACATCCAAAGTCCACCCTGGCTTTCACCACAGGGATGGGTATACTTTGGGGTTTATGAACTTGGTTGTTTTTTTAATGTTCTGATAACTGTATTTCAATATAATTGGTTTCCTTTGTAATCCTATGCATTTTATTTTATGCTGAAAAAATATGGTGCTGAGGAGTCTTTTGGCTTCACCACATTGCCAAAGGGATCCATGACACACAAAAAGATGAAAAATGTCTGGGATATGATCCAGACTTGTGATTTTTTTTTTTTGGCATAAGGAACTCCTGGGTGGGGAAACACCTACCAGTGAAAGTCAGTACCTTCTCTGAAATGTATAGCTTTAAAGAGCTGCCCAGAGAGGAGCGAGGTTAAGCGACTTGCCAGGGGTCACACAGACAGTATGTGTTGGAGGCTAGGGCTGAAACCCAGGGCTTTCTGGTTTCGAGGCCAGCACTCCATCTACTATACCACACAGCCTATCACAGGTTTCCTCATAAAACCAAAAAGTAGGGGAGTAAAGAGCCTTCTCCTTGGGTTGCCCCATGAATTGAAGTGAAGAGAGACAGGTCTATAAACCCCCAACCCAGATATGAATCCTGTTCTCAGCTTTGACCAGTCATCCCTCCACTCACTTGCCTTTTCCCTCTGCCAGCCCAGCCATTCTCCCTGCTACCTAGATGGTCCCCTAAGTAGCCCCATTTACAGCAAGAAGGTCATCTGAACACTGGCTTAATGTGGGCACGTCTATTGCGTGCCTATTATTAATACTGCTAAAATCCAAGTAATCATCTTTACTCCAAGTTAGTCCCATCTCTAACTTCCCTCTTTCAGAGGATGCTGCCATCATTCTCTTACACACTCTGACTCAGTTGCCCCCAAGCATCTTTGGTTCCCATCACTGAAAGCCAATCAATGGCTGAGTCTCATACCTCTCCCTTTTCATTTCCACCGATGCCACACCCCCATGACTCTCCCTCTGCCTCAGCTATTATCTCCCTGCCTCTAGTTTTTCTCTTTCCTGATTCAACTTTCTTAGGCAGAACTCTGATCACATGTCTTCAGTGGCTCCTCATTGTTTCACCAGGGAAATCCCCCTCTAGGAGGCTGGGAAGCTTTCCACAGTCAGCCTACAAGTTGTGGCTTCCTGGATTTCCCAGCAGAAATCGGGGGTGCACCTGGCTCACCTTTCTTCCACTTCTAACCACCCCACCCACTCAGGGCCTTGGCTACTTGCACCCATTACACCATACCTGGTATCAAGAGGTTTCTGGGAAAGGAAAGCTCCTCTTCACAAAAAAAGTATTAGCCCACTGGCTTATAGGATCAAGGCCAAATTCTGGATCCTGGCATTCAAGGCCCTCCACAATGGGACAGTATTCGACTTTTCATTCTTGTCTTCCACTACTCCCTTACAGAGATCCCTAAATTCAAATCAAAGTGGTCTGCTCCTTTCCCCACAAAACCACCACTCCACATAGCTAAATCCTGCCTTCATTTAAAGTCCAAATTTAGCATCACCCCATCCAACCCCATCTCTAAACCTTCTCCAACTGTTCCAGACTACCAGAGATCCCTTAAGCTCTTCATGGGGAACTTTGCCGATCCTGCCTTATTTTATTATCTTTTATGTAACTGTCTCCTCAACTGGGCTATAAAATTCTAAAGCAGTGTCTTGTTCGTCTCTGAATTCCCCCTCCCCCCCACAGGACCTAGCCCAGTGCTCCACTCATAGTAGGCAATCATGGATTGTCAGCTGATAAAAGGATCTCATATCTCCTCCTCACTTTTATCTCCTTTCAACCTCTCATCCTACCTGATACTAGGAAACAACCTTGAAGGAAAGGGGAAAGGGAAAAAGGGGTAAAGGCCTCAAAAATTCCCACCAGGCCTCTCATTATCACTATTCCTATCCCACCCGCAACCATCCTGGGCTTTGCACACAGCCAAATATTAATCCAGACAGTCTCTTTTGTAATGGAAGTAAATGAATGAGGCAATGGGCAGGCCCAGAAGGAGAATTCCCCCAGTAAGTCCCAGCCCAAGGTCACCCAGCTGGTCAGTGGCAGAGCTCAGACCAGAACCCTAGTCTCCTGAGCACAATATAACACAGAGAGCACTTAGACAACAATACACACACTGAGTACAACTGGGCAAATAACCATATCCACATTAATGAAACCCAGAAAAACACACAGAAGGACAAAAAATCAGAAGGGAACACGGACACAAACAGGACTATTTAGTTACTAGCTTATTAAAATTGATATTCACATTTTTTAAAAACTGTAAATACAATTTTTTGCAATCTCATTATAATCATTTTTATTCTAATCTGTGTATTTGGACTTTTGCATTTGTTGGTTTCTACTATTTTTTTGTATTTGTTTTGCTTTTTGGTGAGGCAATTGGGGCTAAGTGACTTGCCCAGGGTCACACAGTTAGTAAGTGTCAAGTGTCTGAGGCCAGATTTGAACTCAGGTCTTCCCGACTCCAAGGCTGGAGTTCTATCCACTGTGTCACCTAGCTGCCTCTCTCTGGTTTCTACTATGCTGATAATGCATTACAACAAAATGTTTTGGAAAAGTACTACTCTTGGATTCAGAGGCCTGAGTTCAAATACCAGCTACCCTGAGCAGGTAACGATTTCTATGGGCCTTGGTTTCTTCCTCTGTAAAATGAGGGGGATTGCACAAATTGATCTCTAAGGCTGCTTCTAGCTCTAAATCTCGTGCCCCTATGATTTTGAGCCCACTGTCTTCCTACTTCTACTAGCCAACCTTCCCCCAACCCTATCCAACTCCTCTAAACAATCATTAGCGCTTATTGCCAGTACTACAATGTTTAGGGCTTAATTGTGTGAAGTCTTAAATTGTTCTCTAATTATTTCTATGCACATCTGGTCTCCCCAGGTAGATTATATCCTGCTGGAGGGCCGAGATCCAGCCTCATCTGTGGGTTGTAGCTTCTCAGCACCTTGGACAGTACCGGGGGTCATAGTAAACACTCAATAAAGTGGGAGTTCTGGGGTGAGAGATGGAGAGCTGGGCAAACTGCAGAAAGGCAAAAGTAGGGATAAATGGAACCAGCTCAGCTGGGGTCAGAATGACCTCGGTTGGCTTGTGACCACACAAGCCCGCTCCAAAGAGGCCCCCAAACAAAAGCAGGAGACTTGGAGAACAGAATGGGCTTCTCCTCCCTCCAGCTCACCTGCTTAGACATGGAATCGATGAGTCGAACGTACAGGTCTTGTTCAGTGCGGATCCCTGGGAACAAAAAGGAGGGGGAAGAATCAGGTCTGACTGCGATGGCCAAGGAAAGGGGATTCTTTGAAGTCTTAGGGTTCTTTACCTCCCTCCTAGGACCTGGAACTAAAGAAGTCCTGAGGCTATATATGCACATGACATTCATAGCCAGCCCGAAAATTTCTCCCTTGGGAAGGACAAGGAACAAGTGGACAAGACAGGACAGGCTAGGACAGAGCAGAATGGGCTCGGGCAGGCCAATCTATGATGAGATGGGAAAGCAGGGAAGACTTATCTGGAGCAGGGCAGATTGTTACTGAGGAGGGCATGAAGGATGGAAGCAGAGCAGGAGGGTGGGCAGCAAAGCAGGATGAACTGGGCAAGGCAGTGAAGACTGGGCTAGGACGGGAAGCCTAGGACCAGGACAACTCACCATTGCTGTAGAGCAGTTGCAGCCGGTAATGGATGCCATTATTGGTTTTCTCTCCACTGTGTTCCTAGAGAGACAGGAGAAAGTGCTGAGGATGGGGGCCAGGGAGAATTCCCCCAACATTCAGCCACCTCAGCTGTAACCTGGGGTGAGGGGAAGAAACTTGCTCCCACAGACCCAAGGACAATCACCCTTTCCCTCCTGGCTGCCACCTCTGGCTATGCATCATACTCTCCCCTCTCCAGGCTGGCTCTAAAAGTTTTCCAAAGAATGAAGTTCATACACAGAGCCAAGCTAACTGCCAACTCCCCTTACCCGCTCTTTTTCCACAAAGTCGATGAAGGCTGTGCGCTCGATCTCCACCGGCTGTCCCTGTCGGTCATACATGGCCAACACGAAGTGGAAGAAGTTGGATTTGCGAAGATTGGAAGGTGGCTGCTTCTCAAAGTGAGCCCGAGCCAGGCCCACACCACTGTGGGGACAGGGGGAAGGGGAGGAGATATTAGCCTGGGCTCCCAATACTTTCTATGGGGAGAGAGATGGGGTAGGCAGGCCACGATCCAGCAGTCCCTGCTGTAAACTAGGTCTGAAGACTTTAAGAAAAACTGAATCTAAATGAACAGAGGGTTGTTTTGTTTTCTCCCTGACCAGTGATTTCACAGAAATCCTGGTGATGAAAGTCCCCCTACCAATACAGATTGGCACCTAATTTGCAACGTACAGTCTTGGTTGCTTAGGACACTGAGAGGTTAAGACTGGCCCAGGGTCACACAGCCAGCATGTGCCAGAATCTTGACTTGATCCTAGGTGTTCCTGACTCCCACGGCTCTCGATAGCCACTCTGCTACATGGCCTTGGGGAAGGATGTGGGGAGTCAGAAATTGGGAAGGGTAGTTATTCTGGGTCAGCTCCACTACCTCCCCTCTCTTCTTCCTCCTCCCAACCCCCTTCCCATTCATTCATTAATTTATTCATTCAACAGACATTTTATTAAATGCTGGCTAGGTGCAAGGATCTCTGTTCTAAGAGGTGAGGGTCATTTAGGGGAGCCTCTGATCACAGAGCATGGACAAGTCCTTTGCCCCACAAAGTTCCCCTCAGTGATACATGATGGCTCAGCCATCCAAGGCGCTAGGCTTCAGCCCAGCTTCTCTAAATGTCTTCGTGATCATTCATTCACATTACTAAGCAGTTCCCATCCCAGCAGGCTTTCCCCTAACAGCTCCCTGGGCAGCTGGATTTACCACAAACTGCTTTACAGATAACTTTTCAGGAACACAGCTTTTGCCCAAAGGAGGCATTAGGGCCTATGTGACTAGAGTACATGTATGTTTTCTGGGCCAGTTCAGAGAGGACAGACACAGGCAAAAAGCTCTGAGGGGCTGTCAGGGTCAAGATGGAAAAGCCTGAGAACAGACTGATGCTACTGCATCCCTGGAGATGGAGTGGCCTTCAGTGATCCTTGGACGAGGCAAACCAAGGTTTCATCAGCTCTCACCATGCCTAGTTTAGTGCTCAGATTCCAGAGGGTCAGAGAGAGATGTTGAGGCATTGGGAAGGAAGTTAGTGCAGGGTGCACAGTGAAGGCAGCCGAGTGGGGCCAGGAGAGGAGCACAAGATAGCCCCTACTTCCTGGGGTAGGCCACAGATTGGAGGGACAGAGAGGGGTGCAGACCCCTCCCACTCTCTAGAAGCCAAGGCTTATGAACACCTTAGTAGACTGCTAGCCAGACTTTGAGCCCAACTTTGCCAGAAGGAAGAAGAGGAGGCTGAGGTGGAGGGGGAACACCATCTTAGCCTACATGTAGAGAATGAATGTTTTCTAGCACTTGGCCCACTGGAGAAAGGGGGAGGGTTGGGGCAGGGGTGGGGGATGGGGCTCTCTGAAGCCATCAGACTGTGACCACAGGGATGAGAAAGGAAAGAGATAAATGAAAGGATCAATTCTGGGTATACTGTTCCAATTCTCACGGCCTCTCCCTCCCCAACTCCCCCATAACTGGAACCTGAGACAGCTAGGCTTAAACTCTGTCTCAGACACTTCCTAACTGTGTGATCCCGAGCACTTACCCCTTTCTCAGTCTCAGTTTCCTCATCTGTAAAATGAGGATAATAATAGCACCTTCTTCACAAGGTTGGTAGATTAAATGAGAACTTACGTTAAACACTTAGCAAACTAAAGCATTATATAAATGCAATCATGAGGAATCCTCACCCCATTGAGAAAGGCGCTCCCCCAACCAGGACCCTCCCTACTTCCCCCAGATTCCTGTGGCCCTTTGCAGAGGAAGGAATCCAATGCAGCCATTGCTGCATGAGGTGGGAGAAAAAAAATTTTAAGGCCCCTGAAGTAGGTAGCTAGGGAAGATGTCCACTCTTGAGCTAAGGGGAATATCCCAGCTGTGGCAAAGATGCCAGGTTTCCTTCTGTTCTCATTAAAAACAGTCCCTGAATAGTGGGGAAAGCCAGACAGCAGCCAGAGGCCCCACCTCTGTATGTCTGAGGGAAGCATTATAGGGAAGGAGAGAGTGCTAAATAGAAACTCAGCGCCATTCCTGCTCATTCTTTAGTGCCTTCTAGCTCCATCTAGGCACTCCTACTACCCTTGTGGAAAAGATAAGATAGATGGGATTCAGAAGTGACTGAATGACCCAGCCCAAAGAGTAGCCGTGAAAGAGTGGATATCAACTTGGAGGGCCATCTCCAGTGAGATTTCTCTTTGACCCTATGTTATTGAATGGATTTTTTAAAGGTTTTTATTTATTTTCGGGAAAGGGAGGCAATTGGGGTTAAGTGACTTGCCCAGTGGCACATAGCTAGTAAGTATCTGAGGCTTGATTTGAATTTGGGTCCTCCTAACTCCAGGGCCAGTTCTCTATCCACTGTGCCACCTAGCTGCCCCCAATATTGTTGTTGTTTTTTAAATCAATAACTCAGAAGAAGACCTAGATAGCATCAGTAGGGATAAACATGATGTCATACCTTGGGGTTCAAAAGGAGAGGGCATGGTAGGCTACAGTTCATATGAACTGAGGTTTTATAACAATGCAAAGTCAATATGAACCAGCATTGTAATTTTTTTTTAATATTTCTATTATCTGATGGTACCCCACATACCCCTATGGATCATCCTCACCCTCTTGTCCATGTTCTTCTATGACGTTTCCATTTTTGTTTTTGTATACCAACACCTAGCATGATGCCTTTTAAAAGAATGAAGAAAGGGGCAGCTAGGTGGTGCAGTGGATAGAGCACCAGCCCTGAAGTCGGGGGGACCTGAGTTCAAATCCGGCCTCAGACCAAACACTTGACACTTACTAGCTGTGTGATCCTGGGCGAGTTACTTACCCCCAATGGCCTTTAAAAAAAAAAAAAGAATGAAGGAACACCCTATAGAGGATCTGCCCACCATGCTGGAAGCTTTCTAGGTCTTTTACATGGAAAAAAGGAGTACAAAATAACAGACAAAAGAGTCCATGGGGTACAGGCATCCGGGCAGCCCAGTAGAGAGAATATGAGACCTGGAGCCAGGAAAACCCGATTTCAAATACTGCTTCACTTAGCAGCTATGTGAACCTGGGCAAATTACTTGGCTTCTACCTCAGTTTCCTCATTTGTAAAATGAGGGTAATAAAAGCACTGGAAGGTATCTTCCAGGGTTGTGAGGATTAAATGAGATAATATTTGTAAGGCGCTTTGCAAACATTAAAGTGCTATATAAATGCTAGCCAGTTTTTATTTTATTAGATTATGTTAATAGTAATATTAAATTAGTAATGATAAATAAATAAATTATTATTATATGTCAGCTCTTACTGTTCTTCAAGGTTTGCAAAGCACTTCACATACTCTATCTCTTTGGATTTTCATTAGGTAGGCATTATAGATATCATTATCCTCAATTTTAAAGATGAAGATAACAGGCTCAGACGAGGTAGTTACACAATCAGTCCTAACTTCTTTCCACCCGATCTATAGTACACTACAGTATTGAGTTTTGTACAACCAGTTTTTCTGATCTTAAGCCTCCAGTTCTTTCCACTGCACCTGACTCTCTTGAAGAAGCCTGGGTCCAGAACTTGGGCCGTGATGGATAAGATGAAGTGCATCCAAAGAGGGGAAACCAAGATGGCAGACGGCTTCAAGAACCATGTCAACAGAGCTATAAGGGATGACAAACCTGGCCAGACCAGTGTTTGAGGGGTTGAGGGGCCAATGAGGATGGAAACAGGTTTCCTGCTTCCTACTTGGTGTATCCAGCTGAAGGACGTTTAGCCTAGAAAGGAGAAGACTTAGCAGGCACATTGTTGCCTTGGAAGAAGAAGACTTAGCAGACATTGTGGTCTGCAAGTAATTGAAGGTAGTGGGATTAAAGTTATTCTGCCTGGCCCCAGAAGGCAGAACTAGGAATTACCCTTTGGTAACAGTGGAAGAGGCAGTTTGGGGGAGGGGCTTGGTAATAAGAAAAGCTTCCTAAGCAATTAGAACTACCCCGAGGGAGGACAGAAAGCCTTGGAAGGTGGTGGGCTCCATCTCCCTTGAGATCACTACTTGTTGAGGATTTTGCAAAGGTGAGGTTGGGATGAGATGACCTTTGAACCCAACCTTCCTCTCCCGTTCTCTGTGGTCATTGCCCTAGGCCTCACACCCCTGCCCTTCCTATGGCCTTTATGAACTGTTGAGTCTCCATTTCTTCCCACTCTGCCCCAAAGGCCTGGGTTTATCTGTCTGCTGCCTTCTCTTCCACCTTCAACCTTTTCCTGCCTCCCTCTATAGCCAGGCTGGCCCCATTCTTGGGGCCTGGTGTAAGGAGGGGTGGGTGAGGGAGATGCTGCCTAAAGTCATAACGGCTTCTTTATTAACTCTGAATACTATTTATAAATATGCTAAGGAGGCCCAGGCTAAAAGCTTCCAGCTCCATACCCCACACATACATACCCCTTCTACCCCTGTCTCTAGCCTGAAGCCCAGTCCCAGGAAAGTCCCCAGAGGGAGTCCTAAGGCTTCTAACTCTTAGAAGGGGCAAAATGGGAAGCAGAGAGACCTCCAGCTTAGTTTTCACCTCACAGCTACCCAGGAAGTTATTTATTATTAATATTAGTGCATATTATTAATAATAATGGCATATACATAGCATTTAAACATATATCATCTCATTTGATCTTCATGAGAAGACTGTATGGTAGGTGCTATTATTATCCCCATTTAACAGATGAGGAAACTGAGACCCAGAGGGTTAAGGTACTTGCTTGCCCAGGGTCCCTCATACAGTTGGTGTCTGAGGAAAAGTTCAAATTCAGGTTTCCCTGATTCAATACTTTTATCTACTCTCAGGGGTCCAGATTCTACACCTCCACTTTTGTCTCTCAAAGCTCTTTCAACTTTTCCGCTCCCAGTCTCAGATGACATTTGTGAAGATAGTCAAGGCAACCTGGGGGTAGAAGGGGCAGGGCAGAGGAGAAAGTCCCTGCC